TTTCTCACAATGATCAAGTCTCGCGTATTTTATAACTAATTAGATAAATTATTGAAACATATTTTATTTATAGACCAATATAAATTAATGATTACAATTAATATCCAAATATAAAATCTGTGATAATATTGACAAAAACTTTTAAAATAACATCACTTACAAGCTGCTGCAGAAAGACTTTGATATTTTTATTATTTCTTTATCGTAATAGAATACTGTAAAATCGTTTAATATTAATGTCACTTAATTGTACTTTTCAGTATATTAAATAGTACGAAAATTAAATACTTAATACAGTAAAGAATTTGTAAATATAAAAATACTGCGATAAACATATTTTCATAAATAAATATAATTTTAATAATTTTTTTCTTGGGACAAAATTATTTAAGATATTGTCAGTATAAACGATTCTACTGTGCTGGTTAATCAAGGTCTCACTATGATTAAAGATACCTGAAGTATATCTTTAAAACTATGTCTCTTCAGTTTTTATACTTTGTAGTTCTTTCAATTTTTCCCCGAGATGTTTATTTAAATGAATTCTAACTTCCTGTTGACTGCTACATTTTTCCCCACATTCGGGACATTCAGAATCACCTTCACCATGTTCGCGTTTTCGATGCTTGGATCGGTTGTTATACGTAGAAAATGATTCACCACAGTCTGGGCACTGATAAGGTTGTTCACCTGTATGTTTCCTGCGATGATGGTCTCTAGAATCTTTCCTTCTAAAACGCATATTACAATATTCGCAAACAAATGGTTTCTTCCCAGTATGTAACAGTACATGATTATATAAAGATTTTGTATCGTTAAACCCCTTTTCACATTGTGCACATTTATAACGTCTTTCACCATTATGTTTACTTTTAATATGGTTAACTAAAAGTTGCTTAACTCTATAAGTAGCATTACACGTATCACACCGATAGAGAGGATCTACTCTCCCTTCGTGTACTCTCTCTTTATGTGCTTTTAAAGACATTTGATGCTTAAATTTCTCATGACATTCACCGCATTCGTACCATGGCTTTTGTTTTGTTAGAATTGGATCCTGATTATTTAATTTATGAACTTCTATCATATGATACTTCAACATGCGATAAGTAGGAAAATTTTCTAAACAAATTGGACATCTAAATAATTGTGGTAATGTAACATTCTTATCATTCTTCCAGTGTTTTTCTAAATGTTCATTCATATTCTGTTTCTTACTAAATGACTTATTACATACATTGCAAGTATATCTATTATGAAAAAAGTGAATTTTTCTATGAAGTTTTAAAGCATTCGTGGTTCTACATTTCTGACCACAAATATCACATTGATATGGTCTTTCCCCTGTGTGAATTCGATGGTGTTCTTTTAATCTAGCTTTTAACTGAAATGATTTACCACATAATTCACAAATATGAGGTCTTGCACCTTTGTGAACGAAAAGATAATGCTCATATAATGAATTCTCTGCCCTAAAATCTTTTCCACAGGTACTACAAATAAATTCTTTCATATTCTCATTATGTCTCATTTCATGAAATTCTAATCTTTCTTTACGTACAAAGTGCTTAGGACACTGGGAACAGTGATACTGTCGAGGAGAAATTACTTTTGTTTCGTTTCCATCTACCATTAAGGAAAGAGTCGAATCTTCACAATCAGCACATGTAACTAAATCATTAATAGCATCTGGATCGAAATCTGAGATTACTTTTCCACAGAGATTGCAATTTACAGAAAACTGTTCTTGTTCAGTTGCTGTTATCGCCTTTAGTATAGTATTTTCATTAATATCGTCATTGCCAGAATTAACTTGTATCTGTTTTATACCTGTATGGTTGTAAATTTTTTGGTGACCATTTAATCTAGATTTTTTTGCAAATAATTTCCCACAGTCTGTACATATATAACGTTGTAAACTTTTATGCGTATGAAAGTAATGATCCCATAATAAATTTTCATTACTTGTTTCTTTATTACATACTGTACATACATACTTATACATTTTACCTAATTTGTGTCTTTCCATGTGAAACTCATATTTCAAATATGAAAGATAACGTACTCCGCAAAGTTTACAGACGTATTTCAGACAAGATTTATAAATATCATTTTCTTCTTGTGTCTCGTCTTTTTCAAAAGTAATATTTTGTAATTCAGCTATACGCATATCTTTATTACTTTTACAATCAATTTCACTGTCTATTTCATAAATAATATTGTTTTCAGGATCTGCTTTTATTAACATATTTGTAGGATCATAATGATAGTTCAGTAAATTTTCATTGGGTTCATATGTTTCTTCCAATTTTCGTACCTTAGACAAACTACTTGAATTACCATGAAAATTGAATTTGTTAAGTTTCCTTTTCAGTTTCTTCTGTGCTATTATTTCTGGGTCTTCTTTAATAGGTAATATATCAATACAATTCACATTTTCTTGTTCTAATACGGGCAACGTCAAACTCACTTGATTATGCATGTTTTCAATATCTTCTGTATCTGTTATTTTATTTACATCTTTAAGATGTATATTATTGTTCTTAATATTATTGAAATGTATTAAGTTTTTATGTATTTGTATATTTTTTTCTGTTAAAATATGTTTTTTTTCTGAATGATTTACCATAGCTAATGCGATTTGGAAGGTATAATCACAGCCTTGTGAATTACTAACTAATAAAATCATTAAATCAATGTTACAGTTTGGACATTTATACACAGCATCACTATGAATCTTTGAAAAATCTGTTACTTCTCTGGATAAATCAAACAAAGATTTTATTTGTGAAGCCTTTTCTAATTCCTTAGAATATTGCATTACATCTTGAGTGAATTTGTAGCAAAGAATAATTTTATCATAACATGGCAAACATACATGCTTTGAACCATTATCATCTATAGATATCTGCAACAATCATTTAAAGAGAATTATTTTTTAATTATTTGAAAACAGTGTTAAGTTCTTACAATTTTTAATTGCATGAAGGATTAACAACTGAATATAAACTAAGTTAAAAATTCTTTTACATTAAAGTTTAAATTCCAGAAAATCATTAACATACTGAAATTGGCAAAATTTCTGTTATTTTGTCTATTAAGTCAGTTGATTCTTCAAAGATATTTTTGCATTTTCCCTCCACAAGACCTATACCGCATAAACGACATATCAATGCATCCATGATTGAATTTCTGTAAAGTTTATTATTAAAAACAGTTTATACAACAAAAACAGTGATTATTTTTATTGTTTCGTACATCAATACATTTTCAATCAATTAACTGTAGTTGATTCATATTATACTTACACATAATTGTAACGATTTGTTTAAGAATACTTTATTTCAGTATAAAGATAATACCAAGAGTAGATTACCTATACTAACTATAGTACGATTTTTAAATACATGTAACACATAACTTATTGCTATTTTTTGTACGTTTTGTGAAATATTTACAATTAAGAAAATGATTTAATAACCTCAATTACTAATTTCACAACACCACTAAAAGTTACGAGGATGCAATACCTATGCATATACATGTGTATATATATATTGCAATACATATATGCAGATATGCATGTACATTTCTTTCTTATTCTATGAATGACATTTACTGAAGATTTACACCTTCAATTCTATTGCGCTAACAGAATCCTTATTTAAATCAATAAATACAAATTCTCAATAAAAAATAGCTTACATGCAATGGTAGGCTTCAAGATACATAAGTATACACTTTTATTAATTTTACATCTGTTTCTTTTAATAGATACAATTTCTGAGTATAATCAAATATATAAATACATATACAAATGGGTAGATACTCTTTATATATCCATGTTTTTTAGATCAAAATTGATGTATTATATATCTGTACAACTTTCGTATATTAAATTTAAATATTGTAAAATGTTTTGTAATTTTAACAAATAATACTGAAAATTATTATTGTCAAAATATCTTCCCAATACATTTTTCCATGCATTTTATTCATATAAAATAAATATACTCCTATAAATTTTGAAAAGTTGAATTTCATAGAATAGTATAGTAAGCTACTAACCAAAAGTACTTGGGGAAAGCTCTTAATTAATACAAGAAAATAATATTATTTTATAATAATATGATAAAATTCATTGAGCTAGTAATTATATAAATAATTTGTATTCTTCGTCAATGTATAAGTTTCACTTAATTTTATAGAATAATATTTTCTTTCCAATAAAAAAAAGTGGTCTTATACTTTTGTTTAGTGGTGCAAATCAGTAGTGGTCGGTTTTTGTAGAAGTAACAGAAAGAAAATAATTATGAAGAAATATTTAAACGTAATAAGAAATGGTCAGGAAAAAAAGTACGGATTTCTTACATGGTTTATACGTTCAAATTATTATTGTCATTTAAAAAAATATATATATCAAAACTGATTTTTATGTATTGAATGGTTACAGGTTATTTCGATATGTTATTGATGTTTCTACCGTTTTGTTTATGCGCAATTGAATTTGATGGAAGTAAATAAGTAATATCTTCTTAAATTGAAAGATACTTCTAAAATGTTGCACGAAGTACTGCTGTCATTGTGGGGGTGTTCAACTAATGTTTTGGAAATATTGGAGACAAATGTAAGTATTGATTTCAGTGTTTTTTAAATGTCGATTTTAAATATTACTAACTTTTTTGAAATTATTATTTCTAGCCTGTAGATCTTAAAAAATATTTGCATCCTGGGGAACGTGCATTACTTAAAAAAATATTGGACATAGTTAAGGAGTGCAATGTTATTAGAAACTTTATTCAAGAGTATACATTTAATATTACAAGATCTAGTGAAAGTATGTAATATATTTTTATATTTATTGTACATTAGTAAATTTTATGATTGTATATTTAAGTTTCATTAAGCTGTAATTACTTTATGTTCTTTTTTTATAGAATTGCAAAACTTACCTCAAGGTCTATATTTACAAGCTTTGTGTGAAGGAATGGATCAAGCTTTAGAACCATTTAGAGAAGAGATTGTTGATTTAGAGAATGTGGTTCTTCATGACAGTTATACTCCGTTATCGCTAATTCTTTGTCGTGTTCAAAAGTATACAGGTTTATTTTCTGTTTTAAATTCTATTATACGAGAAGTAAGTCAATGAAATATTATATTATTCCTTATATTATTTTTTATGAAGAGAAGTAGATATTAATTTAGGTTTTACATCATTTTAGATTAATACTCAGAAAATTCATGGTTGTAAACTATTACAATGTTTACATCAGAATATGCATACTGGTATTCCTGAAGTAAAATCAGCCTTGGAGAAGTGAGTGATATTTGTTATTATTACTATTATTCTATTAGGTCATGTAATATAGAATGTAGGACTTTTCTTATTCATAAATGTTTGAGCTTTTTACTCATAAAGGTTTCCTTTTTCCCACAAAATCCAACATTTCATATTACACAATTTGATACTTGATTGTTTTTTATTGGCTGGTTTTTTATTCTTTAGAATGTCCCTTTGTATACATACTGTTTTGTATAAACAATTAACAAGTTGGCTTTTATATGGTCATTTAGAAGATATGCACAATGAGTTTTTCATTCAAAAAATATCAGAGGGACAAAATAGTTTAATATTAGCAGATAATGAACATAATGCTGCGGAGACAAAAAGTATAAAATTCAATTCAGATATGTGGGATTACATTGTTCAAATGGATATGCTTCCCTCTTATATTAGACCATCATTAGCAACTAAAATTTTGACTATAGGACAAACCATTATAATGTTTGGAAATGATCCAAGACAAAAAAAAGGTAAATGATTCAAATGAAATCTATATTTTTTAAAACAAAGATATTGAAATTGTTTTCATTTGTTCATAGATTTTGCAACGGACGATCAAAATGAAATTTCTATATGGGGGGATAAAAAATACGAGTATTTTCTTAAAATTCAAAATCTTCAGAAGGACCCTATTTTTAATATTGTCGCATTTGAACGTACAATCGATGAATTAAAGCAATGCGTGACAGAATTGTTATGGCGAGTTGCTGTTGAAGAATCTCAACTAGTACATCAGCTTAAATTAGTAAAAGACTTTTTCCTTATGGGCCGCGGTGATTTGTTTCTTGAATTTATTAGGCTCACTGCACATATATTAAATAAACCACCAACAAATCATACATCTAGAGATATTAACTTGGCTTTCCAAATTGCATTAAGGAATATGCATTTGAACGATGAAACTGCGATGGAGAGTTTTAATTTTTTAGTACCGATTCCAACAGAAGATAGCGATGATACAGAAGCAGAAGGCACAGAGATTACTGATAAGGAACGCGAAGATCCTATTGGTAAAGCTTTTTTTTTTAATTATATTTTTTGAATGGTAGAAAATTTCAAGAGTATAGAATGATATAAATTCTTTGTTAAATATAGAAAAACGTGGATGGGGTATGATCATACTGAAGTACAAAGTTATATGGCCATTGCACTTGTTATTTAGTCCATCGGCTTTGATCGATTATAATACATTGTTTCGATTTTTATTGAGAGTAAAAAAGACACAAATCGATCTGTGGAATTTGTGGAGCGAGCACATGTACTACAAAAACATGTAAAATGATTATGATACTTTTTGCATAAGCACGTATATATTGTTTCAATTCTTATGTTTCTTTCTTTGTTTCAGTGACATTGGTGTAATACAATTAAGAAATAACTTAATATTTATTATTGATAATTTGCAATATTATTTGCAAGTTGATGTATTAGAAAGTCAATATACTATAATGGAAGCAAATATGAAAAATACTCGAAATTTTGAAGATGTGCAAAAAGCACATTCCATTTTTCTAGCAAACGTTATGTCTCAGACATTTTTATTGGGAAATACAACAGAACGAAAAAATCCTGTATGTTACACTAGTTTATTCGATTATCCCATAAACCATAAGTAATGCGGTTTTCTGATAATCGAACTGAATAATATATTTATCATTTTGTTATATATATTACTATAAATTACAGATGAATTAGGAATTACAATATCAAAGACAAATTTTCTACAAAGAGTTTTGCAATATTTAGTGATGATGTTTATGATTTTATAATTTCTCGCTTAATATTTATTTCTACCTAATACATTTATTAATAAAGTCGCATTACTTATGATGTGGTCCAGTATTCCTTTAATGCATTAGTAATTTCAAGATTTATGCATTTATTAAATACTTTTTAATATAGGTAAATAAATTGATAAAACTTTTATTACGACTTTGCGACGATTTTATTTTACAAGCATCGATGTGGGAAGTAGGTAACTTACTTTTAACGGAGAAAGAAGAACTTAAAACATTGTCCGACACCCTTGGAAGTTTAATGAGCTGGCTAACTAAAACACTAAATAGAGTACGTGCTCAACCTAGTGGAGAACATTTAGCACAATTATTATTACGATTGGACTTTAACAGATGGTTCAGCAAAAAAATATAAATGAAATGTGTTATTTTGAATATTCAATAACTTCCAAATAATTAACATGAAAGTATAATGCATTTATATAGTAATATTTTGTTTCAAAATCCATGTTTCCCATTCAGATGTATTCCTGAAATGTATTTGACATTTATTACTTTGTATCATTCAAAATATAATTACATACAGTTTGTAACTATAATTAAATAAAACTTAATTATATTCACTGCTTTAAGTATTATAAATACCTAAGAGAAAGTAAAAATAAGGAGTTTAATGTTTTTGTTTAACAGATACAGCCTCTCAACAGTATTAAATCATTTTCCATTTATTTATTATTTGATAAATCTTTATTGAATATAAATATTTTGAATGTTTTATTTTAAAAACTTAATTTTTTTATGATAATACTGTTCAAGAGCATTTACACTTACGTATATAATAAGAATAGTTGGGTTGTTGTTATATAATAAAAAAATGTGCAGAAATTCCTTGTGTAAATTATTTACTCAAGATTAATTACATGTAGAAAACAGTAGTAAAAAATGTATTATTTTATACGAATAACATTTATTAAATATTAATTTAACTATAAATAAATTTCAATAAAAATTACATTTTAAGTGCTAATTTAACTACTGTATTATTAATTAAATATTAACGACAATATTATTTGGTTATAATAATCACAATTAATTAGTTAAGAGCAAACAATCTATTATTTTAATCACTGTCATCATTATAATCATCTTCTGTATATCCATAAGTTTTATCATAATGCCGTCTACTTAATTGTATTATATTTTTAATTGAGATATTGGAAGTTAGTTGTTCTGGAACTAGACCGTCATTATTTTCTATTGTTGGATCTGCATCGTATTGCAATAATAAATTCACTATATCTACATGTCCACGGCTTGCTGCTGCATGTAATGGAGTTTCACCCATTTTATTCTACGATTAAAATGTGCATAAAAGAAATGTATCGAATATTCTATTAGGCTATCATTCACTTACTTGAGTATTAACTATAGGATTTGGTAAGTTTACAAGTTCTTTTACACACTCTATGTGACCAGCACGTGCAGCCCAATATAATGAAGTATTACCCACTGTATCTAAAGCTGTACCCGAAACTCCTTGTTTTATATATTCTTTTAATAGTAAAAGGTTTCCGCGTCTTGCAGCATCATGCAACGGTAACTCAATTTCTTCAGTTTGTTCTTCAACTGCATACATATTTTCCTTTTTTAATTTATTAATATGCATAAAATTAAATAAAATAAAAGTTTAAATCTAATTTCTGACTGACCATAATTGTCTGGTACTAGACCCTCCCGATTTCCACACTTTGCTCTCCACCAATTGGGCTCTATATCTTTATCATAAACATAAAGAAGATCACCTTCATCGAAAGATAATTCATCCGCCTATAAAGTATGGCATATGTTAGCATAATTATTATATGTATTAAAACAATTATTGCATCATCAACATATGTGCATGCTTACATTCTGTGCTGTGTATTTGTATAATGCTCGCATGACTTTGACCTTACCTTAAAAAGAGGTAAGAAATTAAATATAAAAAAAAGAATCTTCTGAGATGTTTATCAAACGATAAGAAATCAAGGGGAAGAAGCATAGAATATTAACATTTATTAGTTATTATGTTTAGTAAATAATTAGTATATACAACAATACTGAAAATTCTCATGCTTAAGAAACATGATTTATATTTACGCTTTTTATTAATGCTAGTAACTTATTAATTAATTTATCCACTTTTTAATTTAATCATTTTATTGACATAAAACGAAATATATGAAAACACATATTTCAATACATATCTAGCACAGACTTGTTATACATTAACCAATTATAATAATTACAAATATAGCTAAAAGTGTCATTTATATTTTTCATTATTTACCAGGTTTCCAAGTAGTTTTGGGTGGTACAGGTGTTTGTACAGACATACTCATCATAGTAGACATGTTTGTGACAATAATGATAATAATAATGTCTTCATGTGAAATGTTCCATTCACAGTTATGCACTGTTAGCATCTGACTTATTATGTTATACTTTTAAAAAATGTACACACTTGTATATTTTCTATTTAAAGTCTCTTTCTCGCAACTTTCATGAATAATATCATATCTGTAAAATAAAACATAAAAATACTTGTGCCTTACATGTTAGGAATCTTATTGTAAAATTTAAATACTTATGAAAATATTATATGTAAAAAACATTGTTTTAATATATTTGCTAGCAATAGACATCATTTAATTTTATGTAACATTGTTATACTTACTAAAGGAGACAACTAAAACAAATGCTATCATCACCCACATCCAACATCTCCAATACGATTTAGTGTGTTCCTTCAATTTTAACGATTCTGTTTTTAATTTATTTGTGTTAACATCTGTCAATTTGTCAGATTTCTCAAGTGATCCAACATCTTTCTTTATAATAGCATTTGCCGCTAAAGCATGTTCTTTCATACTGCTAGTCATTGAGAGCATATTTTCTGCAATTTTCTCTTGAATATTTCTATTATATTTTAAAAGTAAATCCAAATCTTCATCTTGCATATTTGTAGTAGATAATCTTTGTCTTACACCATCTCCTAAAGATCCTATAAAAATCCAGCAATATTATATTTACATATATATTTCATATAAAATAACAATTTGCTACCTTTGTCAGTATGAAATAATTCTGCTCGTAATTCTAGATTATATTTGGCTGTAGTTTTTTGATGAATTTGTGTTGTTATATTTGAACCTAATAAATCATTGAACGTTGCAGGACTTTTTGACAGCATTTGTACAGCTGCTACTCTATCCATAGGATTAGTCAATTTTGTTGTATTTACTAGTCCTTTTAAAAAATCTATTCGTTTAATATAACCTGTCATAACATCTTTACATGGTTTACTGAAATATAATATTATGTTTAGTGATTACATATTAACGCACTTACCAATTATAGTACTATTTTATATGCTATAAAGTAAAAATATGCAACATCAACATTTACATTAGTGATAAGAAATAAATAATAGGTGCAAAGTAAATAATAATAATAATGTAATATTTACCATGGCAATGTTTGTAATTGTTTCATCATATCATCTAATGCAAGAATATACTGAAACAATTAGTAAGTACATTTAAAGTTCATTACACCAATTTTAAACGATATTTATAAGATTTGTCAACCTTCTCCAACTTCCAGTCCTTATGAGGATCATCTTTTGCCATTAATTCACATCTTGTCAGGAGTCGTCTAATATTAATTTCTTCTCTGGACATTAAATTCATACTTTCAAATTTCTAATAGCTTTTCTAATTTTTATGAATTTCGTTATTAAGCAATAGTCATATGTTTTTCACTATAATTCATACCACTTCATTCGCTTCGTGATACTTCGGAAAATCGTTCGGCAAAAATCGAAATTTGAAAAATTTATCGTAATTCAGAATGCACATGTAATTTGAAAGACTATCAAATTTAAAGGTAGACACATTGCATATGTGTAAAATATTCTACGTCTGTAAAAAGAGTTTCCTTGTATGACGAGAATTTTGTACAAAAACTTCTTGACTTAATTTGACGATCATCGTTAATAGTAATATTATATTCAAAATATTTAAATGTTTACACTTTTAGTTAATTGTATGAAAAAATATATTATTATATTAATTTATTGTGTGTATCTATTTTGAAACACATATTTTTGGATAATTAATACTGGAATGTAGAAAACTATTTATTCTTTTTTAGAGATTTTAAATATACCGCTATGAATTCATCACTAGAGAATAATAATTTACATTCTGTACATGAAATAATACTTTATACGTACGATGCAGTTTTTTACAAGTACGATAAACTGACTTCGTCAGTGGACACCTTTTATTATTATAAATAGTAGTATATTTGTGTGTTTAATACGGATATACTGTGTTCTATGGGTCGTGGGAATTCCACATTGCGCGTGGAAGGTGTATCGATGTTAAATTGAAAAGTTGTAACGCACTAATACGAATGCTGTGAAAAACACGTAGTCATATAGATAACGATTGACGTTGGCATTCATTATTTAGGGGGCCGATCCCAGTGTGTTTCTTGGTAGATTGACAGAATCGCTAAGATGGCTGATATTAAAGAATCTCCGCCGCTTTTCGATACAAATGAAACAAAAGTTGACGATTTGGATGATGACGACGAGGATATTTTCGCGTCGGCTGTACAAGTACGTTTTATAATATTGTTAAATATACACATCAAAATTGTATGACTTAAGCATCACTTCCAAAATACATTTGTTTTTATAATCAGTATAGTGCATATCTAATCATTATCACGGACAATTAACTAAAATGAAGATCGTTTTAACTTTGTTTTAAAATTTCTTTAAGTACTGTTATATTACATGGTATAATTTAAATATAGGATCAGAGTCAGCTAGAAGATTCATCTCCCTACAATGGGATTTCAACAATTCCAGCAGAATTACCAAAGTTAACTTTACGAGATGCACCTGAAGAAAATTCATTTTCATCTGTGTCAAGTCCTGCACCAGGGCCTTTAAGCCCACCATTGGGACCAATGGGTAGTGACATAGGTGATCTTCATGACGTTCCTATAAACGATAATTCAGACATTCTACCAACAAATATTATCCAGAATCAATCAGTGGATGAGGTATATGTTTAATTATTAAGTTGAATTATTATTGTTCATGTAGAATTAAGAAATGTAGAATTTTATAATGTTATTTTTGTGTATAGGTATCAGCAGATTCATCCGATGTATTTCTAAAAATTACAGTAACTTCTCCTCAGAAAATTGGAGATGGCATGGGTGCTTATGTCGCTTATAAAGTTGAAACCAAAACAAATATGCCAATATTTAGAAAGCGAAATTTCAGCGTTATTAGGCGCTTTAGCGACTTTCTAGGTCTTCATGATAAGTTGACAGATAAATACCTTCGAAATGGCAGAATAATTCCTCCTGCTCCAGAAAAGAGTGTTATCGGTATGAACATTAAATTTTTCTAAATTTATATATTTACATTTTGCGTGTATTTTATACTATTTACATGAATTTCTTAATTAGGGACAACTAAGATTAAAATGTCAGGTGACAAGAGTCAAGAACAAAATTCCAGTTCCACAGAGTTTATTGAGAAACGTAGAGCAGCTCTTGAAAGATATTTAAATAGAACTGCAGCTCATCCAGTGCTCAGCGTTGATCCCGATTTTAGAGAATTTTTGGAAGCAGGTATATTGTGTAATATAAAATACAATGTCCTTAAAAGAAATTATATCACTAAATTTATATATTTTTAAACAGACATGGAATTACCAAAAGCTACCAATACATCTGCGCTTAGCGGTAAAGGAGTAATGAGACTCTTTAACAAAGTTGGAGAAACCGTTAACAAAATAACTTATAAAATGGATGAAACTGATAAAGTAAATATTAGAAAATCTAATTTTATATAATCTTATGCAGAAAGTATATACTAAGATAGGATTATTGGTTTATTTATTTTATAGTGGTTTGAAGAAAAAACATCACAAATTGATTCCCTTGATATACAATTACGTGCATTACATTCTGCTGTTGATACCTTAAATAATCAGAGAAGAGAGTTAGCAACGTGTACTGGTGCAACAGCAAGATCTATTGCAGTACTTGGTCATGGAGAACCAGGTGCATCTTTGGGAAGGGCATTAGCTCAACTGGCTGAGACTTTAGAAAAAATAGAAGTGATTAGAAAAGCACAAAGTAATAGTGATCTCTATCAATTCGGAGAAATGTTAAGGGATTATGTTGCTCTTATTGGAGCAATAAAAGTTAGTAGTTAACTTATGTTTAAATTTATTATTTTTTGCTTACATTAATGTCATGTAATGTTGTTAATTTTAGGATGTGTTCCACGAACGAGTAAAAGTTTTTCAAAATTGGCAACATGCTCAAATGGTATTAAATAAAAAACGAGAGCAGAAAGCGAGATTAGAACAGTCTGGTAGAACTGATAAAACAAGTCAAGCTGCTACCGAAGTTATTGAGTGGGAAGCAAAAGTTGATAGAGGACAAGAAGAATTTGACAATATTTCGAAAATGATTAAAAAAGAGGTAGACCGATTTGAGTTAGGAAGAGTAGAGGATTTTAAAAAGCAGTTAACAGAATATTTAGAATCCATGTTGCTATATCAAAATCAAATTATTAAATTTTGGGAGAGCTTTTTGCCTGAAGCTCGAGCAGTTGCATGAACATTCCTGAAATTATTCTAAAATGTTTTTTTTCTTTAATATAACAATAAGAAAACTTTGCTGTAAACATTTGTTTTCATACGTGTTGGAGTAAATTTCTGAATGATAAATAATACTTGTACAATGCATATATAATTTATTAACATGCATTACAAGAAAAATATTCGCATTGTAGAATCAAGAAAATGACTGTATATGCGAATAAATGGAAGTTTTATGTACAATAATTTTGGAATACTGCCAGTGCTTTCACAAATTTGAAAATAACAAAAATATAGTATATTTCATTCGAATTTTTACAAATTCATTTATGCTAATTATCTTTCGAGACATCATGCGTTTATCATCTTATTATTAGCTCATATTAGAAGTATTCAACGTAGAATACGGTTTGTTAAAAACGTTTTACATAATAATAAAAATGAATCAAGATTGTATAAATAGAAAGCATTAAATAACTATTTGTTGAAACAAAGTTTAATGATATAATTGACGTTATATATTAAATTTATGATTTTCATATTTTCTTATAATAGTAAATAAGTATTTTAATTAAACTTTTGTTAAGTTCAATACATTAATACTATATATTACTATAAACGTATGGTATAAAAACATATTTTTTTACTTGTTATATAATAATTATGGTCTATAATAAAATTAAATAGGTACATACATGTATCCTTTTTTTATTTAACAAAAATATCTTGTTAAAATGTAGAAAATGTAGAAAATATAAGTTTTGTAGAGGGAAAGTTTAATTACAAACTTTTTCCATGAATTATATAAAACAGAAAACTATTTCCACACCAATACTTTATTGCAAAATTTTCAAATAAATGTTACTTATTAATAAAAAAAGTATTCAAACATACTGTATAATTTCATTAAAAAAGCTCCAAAAATTGTTTATATTTTTAATAATAAATATAATATAAATGAATATTACTTATTAATAAAAGATGTATTTAAAAATACTGTATAATTTCATTAAAATAGCTCCAGAAGTTGTTGTTTATAGTTTATATTTGTTTATATAATTATTATTACCTATAATACGTATTAGGGGTGTCGAACTGAAAGATCGCGAGTTCTAGGGTCTTTCCCCTCATGGAAAGTTACTCTCTCCATACTTACTTTCACCTGTTTATATTAAATACTACATAGAGCTGCTCACGTACACAGTCTCAAGCAGCTCCTGGAGTAGGAGTGGTAGGGAAACTGCTGATCCAGCCGAATTATATATGTTAATATAAAATAATTTATGTTCAATAAATAAAATGTTCTTTTTAATATTTTTCAACATACAGTTTGCAGTACATTATATGAGATAGTCGTTTCATTTTTATACTGTTGTATAGAAATGATCCAATCGAATCTTTTATTAAGTTGGTCACTATGATCTTAGTGTATGGAAGTGACATAGTGTCACACAAACGTATCGACCCTTTCATGTGTGCCATGCAACGTGTCAGTGGTGATGAATTAAATTAGGTTATCAATTATTTACTCTAGTTAATTGTCATCGACAATTAACAAAATTCGTGGATGAATTTCATTCTTGTTTATACCAGTGTTTTGCATACGTGGCAACATTTGCAACCAATCAGAAAACACAAGTTTTGATAGGCGTGGCTTCGAACACGTATACTTGCTTGTACGTCCGGCCGCCATAATTCTTGAGAAGAAATCGTTGTGCGTGAATTCTTGTCGTGATTCTCTGTAGCAAACATAGTACGTTGTTCATTTTACATTCCTTAGTGGAAGCTATTTGCTGAAAATAATTTTACTGAACTACGTAAGTCCAAGGAATTCTTTAATTTCATTGATTTTGTAGAATGTTAATTCAATACAAATCATTTTGCCGGTTCTACCTATACGTGATTTAACGTGGAGGAATTCGGCTCATCTCCGGTGATTGTGTCGATGATCCGATTGTCATCCATATGTCATTTTCATAATAATTTTCTTTTAAATTTTCGTCTATTAAATTATTCTACTATAGTTCATTTTATGGTATTACATTACATATAAGTTTTAGGAATGTATAAGAACATTTTCTAAAATGAAATTCCTTAATAGTGTGAAATTAATTAATAATATTTGTTTCAATCAATTAAAATACATTACATACATCAATTAAAATACAAAGTAACAGTAACAGATAATATTACACTTAGTTGTGGTATTTAAGAAAAAACAATTGAGTTTAGAAATTGGACTTATTCCAAGCTTATTGTGAATAAGTTATGATAAGAACTATGTAATATATTAAGAGGAAAAAAGTTATATGTATCACAATATTCAGTGTTTTTATAACAAAGTAATACAACTTTAAGATATATATTACATGTTTATTACTTATATATGTAAAATAATAAAAATACTTTATTTTTACAGATAGATATTGATAAAATGGATGTCCAAACTGGATTGGTATATGTAGCAGTAGTAGTTATTTCAGCAGCAGTTATTGTTTTAGTATCAATGTTTGGTATAAAAGAAAAATCTTACGAAGAAGCGATAGCTGAACAGAGAAAACTACCTGATGATCTTTTGTTAAGTATGTAAGACTATATCATTTAATTGTATTGTGAAAAGGTTTATTTAAAAGTTATACATTTCGTAGTATTTATTAGACATATTTATTTCTTTTGAATAGCTTTTTTTAAATTTACAACATTGGATTAGTCAATGAAAATGTTTATAATTAATGAATTGGCTGATATTTAATTATTATTTACTTTTAGGTAAAAAAGATAAAAGTAAAGAAAAGAAACATAAAAATAAGGCAGGAAAGAAAGTAAAAGAGAAGAAAGAAGAAAAAGAGGAAAAGGATGATAAGGAGGAAAAAACGGAACATGTTCAATTTGAGGAGAATCCTCAAATATTGCCTTTAGAACCATTACTACGGGTAAGGACATGCATTATATTTTATTATATATAAAATTTCCTTGAATTCATAAATTTTATATACAAATATATATATGGCATTATATATTTTCTGATATATATGAATAATATATGTTATATGTTACTTATATACATATATTATGCATATACATCAGAAAATATATAATGCCATTCAAAA